ATGAGGAGCCAGATTGTTAGGGGCAAGAGGCTGACTCTGTAAACCGCTTAGAGAGGGCTGCAAAGCACTGTGAAGTGGTATATGTCTGATTGCTAGTGCTTGAATATAAAATGGTGGGATGGTCGTTGTTACAGAAAGCAATGGTATTTGGGATGATCAATTTAAACGACACAACAAAGGACCAAGAAGGCTCACTCTGACCTTTTACAGTGTTAGTGCAGTGGTGGGTTGCAGGAGGTACACCCCGGTACGGGTGTACCGGAGCCTGCCCGGAGCACCAGGTACCGTTTTGGTACGGTGCTCCGGAGAGCCCACCTGCTTCCCTGAGCTCCTTACCTCCTTTAAGCCTTCTACGCATGGCACGTATGGCACCTATGCAATGCTCCGCCGAGCAGCTGGAACATCGCGGAGGCTTGCGGACCCGACAAATGCACGCACAATAGCGTGCCAATAAAACCACGGTGAGAAAACCGCAACATCATAAACGCGCCCACAACAACGCGCCGACAAAACCGCGCCCACAAAAGCGCGATTTAAGTTAAGAGTTAGGGTTAGGGTTAGGGTTAGGGTTAGGGTTAGGGTTATTATGTTGTTTTTGTTGTTTTTTTTGATGGCGTGCTTTTGTCGGTGCGCATTTGTCAGCGCGCTTCTGTGCGCTTCTGTGCCCATTCGTCGGCGCGATTTTGACCTCGCGGTTTTGTCGGCGCGATTTTGTCGGCATGCTTTTGTTGAGCGTGCATTTGTCGGTGAACCATGGCTGCTTCAGGCAAGCCATTCTTAGGACACTGGAAGCTAAAACATATGAAGGATGTTTGCAGAAACTGGTGTGTCTAATGAAAAGAAGGACTAGAGGTGACATTGCAATATCTAAGGGACTGCCACATAGAAGAGGGGGTCAACCTATTCTCCAAAACACCTGAAGGCAGAATAAGCAGTGGATGGAAACTAATCAAGGAGAGAAGCAACCTAGCACTAAGGAAAAATTTCCTAATAGTTTAGTTTCAGTTTAGTTTCACTTTATTTGTATGCCGCCCTTTTCCCTGGGGGGACTCAGGGCGGCTCACAGTTCAAAAATACTTAATATTCCATTAAGCTGTTCTAATACTTAGAACAGCTTAATGGAATGGCTTGCCTTCAGAGGTTGTTGGTGCTCCATCACTGGAGGTTTTTAAGAAGAGATCGGACAGCCATTTGTTTGAAATAGTTTGGGTTTCCTGCTTGGATAGTGTTCTGACCGAGGCTTCCCAACAGCAGGAAGCAAACACCTGGTCCCGACAAAACTCCCTTTATTAATTTGCTGTGGATTCTGCTCATTCACATCCAGCAAAGTTTTTTCAAGGGAGGATTTACAGTCACAGACCTTATCTGGCATGGAGAGCTGACAAGCTGATATCTGCAAAACTTGGCAAGGAGTCTCAGAGAGTCATGAACCAATGAAGTGAACTCATTGTCTCCTGCAAACTCCACTCCCCTTTCGCTCCTCTTTTATTTCCTCTGGGAGGGGCCATTCATCATCCATCTGTGGCCTTACTCCCAAGTCGACTCCTGTTCTTTAGCTGTTCCCTTCCTTCTGTCATTCATGTTTCCTTCCTTCTTTTTCTCATTCCT